TAGTTGAGCAAGGTTTTGGTTTTTTTCCCCATACAGCACAAAGTCAAAAAGTTTTAGGAAAAGTTTGTGATTTCTGTCAGAGCAGCAGCAGCAGCAGCAGCAGTGATGCAGAACAATTCGTTGCACTCGCAATTATTTCTCCTCCATTTGTCTTAAATAGAAAGAAAAACATTCAGGACTCCTCTCTTTACCCCCTCCTCCCCACTCTCCTCCCCCAGATTCATATTCAAATATCTTTGTTCCAGCAGCTGAGTGTTGTCATGCACCACGCTCCATCACAGCTGCCCTTATTTTCTACCTCAAACAACCCGTGAATATCAACACACCTCTAAATCAAACACAGTTCCAGCCACAGGGGGAGCTGTGACCACATTTCTGTTCCCTCTTCTTCTCTGGCCTGTTTGGAGATAATTATTTGTCTGGCCATTTATAAACCCTCAGTTGATAAATGGCCTTACAAAAAAAAAAAAAAAAAAAAAAAATTCCAGGAGGAAAAGAAAGAAAGGATTGACTCAAAACCATTCGTGCTGAATATTAAGGCGTGTCAGTTGGAGTAACGACGAGGCTCAGAGGGCAGAAACTGCTGCGGTGAGCACAGCTGGGCTGTAGGCGGCGCATCACTGACCTTGATGGGCGGTTTTCGGGTGATGTGAGACACCAGGAAGTTCATGGCAATGTCCTCGCAGTTGATGTACTCGTCCACCATGTCCCTGATGGCCTGGGGCATCACGTAGGAGTACAGATAGGCGTAGTACTGCGAGATGAGGAGAGGAAAGGAAAACGGTGACAAAACTCCCAGAATTATGGCTGAAACCCTTACGAGCAGAAATGAACGTTTACTTCTCCTTGTGCCAGCGACCTTTATCTTCTTACCTTGTGAAAGAACGCAGCTCCTGTCAGGACCATGGAGAGCTCACAGGAGTAGTTGGAGTTGTAGAGCCACGACTGATGGTTAACGTCCCAGGCGTGATAGCGCCCAGGGAAGCCCACGATTCGATCTCTGGCCTCACGCCACACTCTGTGGGACCAGACCACACACACACATCATTATCACAGAGTTATCTTCATTCTCCATCACACACACACACACACACCTATAACTGACTCTGACACGCTCTCGGACAAGTAGGTCCACGTCTCTCTGCCTGTTTGTACGGCACATTTCTACATCCATCTGTTTTAGGTTGTCATCTCTCTGAGCCTTTTGGCAACGACATTCCTGCCGAGACTAATTAAGCAACTACGCCGTTGTCTTCAATTAGAAAATCTCTCATCTGCTGCCAAAACTTTAATTTAAAATTTCACTCTTGGCTCATACAGAATGTGTACAGTACATGCTGCAGTCGAGTCCCTGCAAGAAAGTCGTACTTCACTTCCTTCAGGGGAGAAGTTTGATGTTTCCAAATAGAGATTTGGAAGAAAAATAAAATAGATAAAAGATAAAAAAATAAATGAGCTCGTGTAAATTCTGTGGAAGAGGTGAGGAAATATTCCTGGGTAATTCTGCCGAGGCGATATGTGTGTGTGTGTGTGTGTGTGTGGCGGGGGTTTATGAATGACCCCAGACACACACACACACACACACACACTCCAGAGTCAGAGAAACAATTTCTGCCTGTCTGGACAAGCTCCTGCAGCACTGCAGCGTAGACGAGGCTCAGTGAAGGGAGGAGGGGAATCAGGTCAACGGTACAAGGTCTTTGGTTTTTGTTAATTGGTTTGAAGTGAAAAGTCCATCAAGAACAACCAGGAGAAACAAGTGATGAACGAAGGGCTGTGAGAACGGGTCTCTGCTCTTTTGTCTCTTTTCCATTTCTCTGAATGGCCTCGGCTGATCTGTGGATTCCTCTGACTTCAGGAATGCGTGGCTTCAGCAGGTTAGGCACATTTTTCCCACTGACAAGAGATTTTACTACATTTTCTGGAAAGAGACATTTGTGAGCACGAGTCATGGCCATGTATTCTTCTCCTCCAGATCATGAAAAGATACCAAAAAAAAAAAGAGCTTCACAGTCCAAGAGGAGTTTTTATTTAATTTCCTCTAAGCTGGTATTTCATGGACTTTCAGGTTTGGGGGGAGCTTCTTTTTTTATTATTATTATTAAATAAAGATCTTGCAAATCTTCACGTTGCGTTCACTGACCTGAATCCAAACATGATCTCGTCGTGTCGAAGATGAGCGTCGTCATCGATGGACAGAATGGCCTCGGTTTCCACCACGTCCCACGGAAGGAATCGGTTGTTGAGGCTGTTTTTCTCTGTGCGGACGACCTGCAGAGACAACAGACGACAAACAGCTGAGGAGGAGGTTCAAGCTCAGTCACTGGATTTTACCGTGGAGCATGAAGAACACATTAGATATCCCTCTTTTTTTGGTAAAAAAACAAGGCAACGTTACTCACCACAATTGGCAGACCGATGTCGGGCCACAGCAGGTCGTCTGAGGGAGGTTTGGGTGAATTCCACACCACCACCACCTTGTTGAGGTACGGCAGACCATTCAACCTCTCCAGAGAGTTCATCAACACCTCCTCCCTCTCATACGTCAGCATGACCACGGTGAACTGTTCTCGTGGAACGTTGCCTCCTAAAGCTGCCTGAAACTCCTTCCCTGAGCCTCCTGTTCCTCCACCGATGGGCCTGAAACCAGTACCAGAGCCCAGGAATTTAGCTTCCGAAGGCAGAACAGGATCCAAGGGTGTGTGAGGAAACAAATGAAAAGGTCCTGGGGCCTGGTTCCATGTTCTATAGATGTCCACAGCAGTATATGTGAAGTTGCGCAGAAAGCGTGGAGAAGCGTAGGGAGGTTCGGTCTCCACGGGACCCAAATCCAGATCTCCGTTGTCGGCCAGGTTGGCGTCGGTTCCAGCCAGTTTCCCAGCTTTGTGGGG